TCTTTAGTCATTAACTTTTGTGTAAAGTAGGCACGAAGAAAGAAAAGCGGTTTTTTTACGTTAAATAACTAAGATGTCGTAGGCTATACATGCCAATTAGATTCGTTTATAGTCAGGTACTAATAGTCAAAGCAATAGTAGCAGCAGCAGGTGACCTTGAAACACCCAGCAAACGCGATAGTCGAATAGTAAAAACTTTGACAAACAATATTTGTTGTTCTCTGATAGACGTGCACTAACATTACCGTCAAATCTTTCGATCAACACTGTGAAAGGAGAAGAACGACAAGAAGGAAAAAAAGAAGAAGAAGAAGAAGAAAAGAGAAAGAATTTATAATGTGAGTTACATAGTGAAAATAAAAAGAAGCACAAAAAAGAGAAAAGGTAATAACACATACATACGTATTCGTAATCAAAAATGTTCTAGTGGTAATACTTGATCACTGATAAATTTCCATAAATTATACAGACTATGCGCATATTTTTTTTCATAGTTCTTATCATTATCACAGTAAGAAGAGCAATTAGCTTTGCTCGATCGGTCAATAAAATAAATCGAAATGAGTATATATTTTTTTTTTAACCAATTGATACATGTGAGTATCATTATACTTTATACAACAACGTCATATAGGTGAGCGAGGAAAAAAAAAGCAATGTACTTTTTTCTATGGTTTCTCTTATGCCATATGTTAATATATTGAGGTTACTTTATATAGAAATTTATATTTATTTTTTTTTCATTTTTTTTTCAAGTATGTATATTAGTTGAAAAAGAAAGAAAATTGTCCATATTATTACATTTTTCAAAGAACTGATTGTAATACGGTAGTGTTTGTCATTTACAATCGATATTTTTTAATAATGTGTTGAGAAATTGAGATATTATCATAGAGTAGGTGTTAGAGAAGTGAGTAATATATAAATATTTCATTTTTTCGCAACATTTAGATATATCAATAACTTGATAAGATTTAGAATCTTGTAATATAACTGTTATTCTTATATTGTTGTCATAAATTCTCACTTTCATTTCTTTATTTTTCTTTCTCACTCGTACAAAAAGGATTTGTGACGGATATTTTCTTCTCTTTTTTTTTCTGATGACGAGAACTGAAATGTTCTTGGCACATTTCTCTTTTTTTTTACTCGATAAAGATGTGGTAAGTAAAACATATATGTTATAGTTCTGTCATAATATAGAATAAAAATCTTTTTAATAATAATGCGTCTTTACTAGCGTAGTAGATACTTAACTTATGTTGAGTAGAAACTTGAATATAGAAAAATGAAGACAATTTCCGATTTTTTTTTGGAAAGGCTAAAACCTTAAAAAATAGATTGTATGTCATGTATATGGCACATGAAATTTCTTTCTTTTTTTTGTCTTGAAATATAAGAAAAAAAGAGAGAGAAGAAAAAGACTAATATTTACTGTTCGAAGGCTTAGACTTTTTTTTTCTATTAGTCTTAGACATGTTTAAATCAATATTTTTATATTGAAACTCTTATCAAATGATAGTTATTATTTATTATTTGATTTGTACGAAATTGAAATCTAGTTCAATTAGAAATAGTTAATTCATTCATTTATTATAGATGGCTACGGCGAATCGTCAATACGGTCGTCGAGGTGTAACTAATACTACACTGACTAATACGAATAATGCAAGTTCAAGTGGTGTAGCACCATCATCATCTGCAGGTTCAATATCTACTCCACCACGTCGTTATGTTTTGGATGTACCAACAGGTCGTACAAATCGTACACGAACAATAAATAGATTGGCTGATGAATATGATGACGTAAATACACGTAGTCGTTCAGCTGGTGCAACAACATATTCAACTGTTTTATCAACAGGTTTTAATAATGAAAATGGTGAACGATTATCACGTTCAGATTCTCGTGAATATTATTATCGTGATGGTGCAAGTGATTCATCAGCTGTTAGTGTATCACGTTATTTAGAAGATGCATCTATTAAACATTTAATGGAATCAAATGCAACTTATACAAATACAGCGGCTGAAGATCAAGAAGTTCAAGCATTAACAGCACAAGCTACACCTGATATCAAAAATTATCCAATTAATGTTGATGCAAATCCAGAATTAATTGTTCGACCGAATACACAACGATTAACATATACACAAGATATTGCTGTTCGATATTTAAAACCTGGTACACCACCACCTCCAGGAGTAAGATTTTCTTTTTTTTTGAGTTTTTTTGAAAATCTTTTATTTGTTTTCTTTTTTATCTAGCCTATTATTATTCGTGAAATTCGTGCACCAGCACCACAACCTGCTCCACCTATTATTCTTCGTCAACGTCCTCCTCCACCACGTACACCATCACCAGTTATTATACGTGAAAAACCACCTTCACGTCCAAAATCTGTTCCAACAACTATTATTAAAAGTAAATTTTTTTAAATAAAATATGATTCTTATAAATTTTAAATGTTCATTTGTTTTTTTTTAGAGGTTATTCCACCACCACCTCCTCCACCACGTAAATTAATTATTGAACGTCTACCAAAACTTCCACCAAAACCACGTCCAGTTATAATTGAACGTTGGCTTCCATATCATAAACAAAAACGTCAAGTTATTCATGAAAGAGCTAAACCATTAGAACCACAAAGTCGTATAAAAAATACAATTATCGAATGGCGTCCACCTGAAGTTGAAGTTGTTAAACATGTTAAAAAACTTGGAGTTCATGATGCTGATCCACAGCGATATTATAGTCAACATGGAGATAAATTATATGCTACAGAATTTGTTCAACGAAAATTAACTGAATTAGGTCTACAAGAAGAATTAGCTTTAATGCAAGAGCAACAAACATCTGCTGCAAAAGAAGATATAGCTCTTGATCAAGCTAGTGAATATAATGTCCGACAAATTCTTAATGGGTAAATAATTTAACTAAATTTTTGTTTCTTAAAGAAATTTCTTTTTTTAAGTTATGGACAATCATCATCATCAAGACAAACATATACATCAAATAGTGGTCAGAGTGTAATGCGTCTTGTTCGTTCAGCATCTCATTCAGGTGTTATCGATGAATATGGTGAACAACAAGTATCTTATGAACGTTCACCTAATAATTCAGCAACAGTTATGTATGATGGAAATAGTTATAATTTCGATGAAAATTCTACTAGAGGAGGAGGAGGAGGAGGAGGAGGAGGAGGAGGAGGAGGAGGAGCTCTTCTCACGGAAGAAATGCTTTTAAGATCACATACAAATAATGATGGTAAATTTCCAACACATCTTTTAACAAAACTTGGTTCACAAATATATGATATGCCATCTGATCAAGTTGATTATGCAAATAATTCTAGACGAGTTACTACATCAACAACACGATATTATACAGGAAATCAAGGTGAATTAGAAGGTTATGAATCAACGGTTGATGAAACAGGCGAAGCAGCACCTCATTTTACCGATGAAAAATACGTACAGATAAAAGCATCTGATTTAAAAAATGTTCTGGCTAATTATGATGTTTTTTCAAGTAGCGGACAAAAATTAGAAGGAGAACAACTTAATTTTTAAGAAACAAAACAGAAATATAACTCAGGATTAATCGTCTTTTTTTTTCTACTATTAATCTTATTATTTTCTGTAAAAGCAGCTATAGTAGTGTTTTTATTTGCTTATATTTTATTTTTTGCGTTCATATATACATTATATATTTTATTTGACTAATCCGTGTGTTGTGTATCCCGAGTAACAAAATGATCCTTATCCATTTTTATGTTTGTAAATAGCAGAAAAGTATTTTGAATAATTATTATGCCAGTAGAGAACAAATGAAAAATCTAGAATAATTTCATTTATTTGTGAATTAATGAAATATAATATGATCTAATACCGTCTCGTTTCTTTTTTCTTTTTTTTGAAAAATAATTAGATATAAAGAGTGTGCTTTTTCTTTCTTCTTTTGTTTACATATATGTTGTCATTTTCTATTCTCACCAGAATATTTTTATTGATGTTGCAAATATATTCAAGATAATGATAGATATTTTAAATAATCGTGCACTATTCAATCTTTTCATAATAAATTATAATTAAGATAGATTTTCTTTTTCGTATGTTGACTTATTGATGTCTTTATGGGATTTCGAAAATTTCGCTTTTCTTATAATCGAATTTGAATCAAGCAACTACTTAAAAATAGTAGAAGAAAAGTAAATAATAGGAAAAAAAAAGTAACATGTTGATCGATTATTGAAAGCATACATAATACTTATATGTATTTTGTGTTTCATAGACGAGAAAATGTTTTTTTAATCGAAAAATAAAGAATGAAAATTTAACTTTATACTCAATAATTTATAAGATCAATGTCAGCGACTAAAGCAGTGTATGTTACTAAACAACCTCAAAACAAAGATATTTATAATGGTTTTGGTTTAATGGGTAATGAAAATTTTTTACAAAGTTGGATTTTTAAAGAAGGAACTTGTGGATGTACAGGGTCATATTATACGACACTTACGGATACAAGATTATTATTACGAACGGAAGATACAAAATGTTGTAGTTGTTGTTGTGAACAAAATTATAATGATGCTTCGATTTTCTTACGTGATATAGCTGAAATGCGAGAATCTACAGAATCACATGATTGTTGTTCATTTTTTTGTGGTAAATGTTGTAGTGGACCAAAATATATGGAATTACGAGGTTCGTTTGGTTCGGAAATACTTCATATATCAAAACTAGATATGTTAAATGCACAAATGGAAATTCCAGCAGCAATTGGTAACTGTAAACTTGTTAGTCAATATTAAATTATTTTATTAAAATGTATTTGTAATAATTTTATGATTATATGGTTTTGTATTGGATGAACTCTTTTTTTTTGTTATTTCTCGTCTACATGAACATTGTCAGAGAACATTCATTGAAAATGACGAGACTTTTTCATTATAAAAAGTGTATGTTAGTATATTCGAAAGCCGATTGTATAGATCAAATAAGAATAATTGTCTCATCATATTAAAAAGTCATTTTTATATATAAAAAGTTCTAGTGATTTTGAAAGCTTTTAGTATTTATTTGATCAGTCAAATCAATCAATCAACCATGACTAATCCATCGATTGCATATGTATATATATATATATATATATATGTATAAATCGGTGTCTAGATTTTTACCACTTATATTGAATAATATCTAGATTTTTTTATTGAAAAAAAACTAAACGACTTCGAATTTGTATTATGCAAAATCATTTACAATTTATTGATCATACATGTATATATAATCTATTCATTTTTTGAATGATATGTATAGGCTAATGATAATGCCAACATATCGATTACTACAAAAACAATTCATATTACACGAAGAGAATATTACATTATAGATTATGACTACTAATAGATTACTGTTCACTTATAATTAGAGAGTAGACTATCTTGTGAATGAATACCATTTGTACTATTAATGAAATAAATTTGAGAGTGATGAAAGAATCTATTGATGTTTGTTTGATCACACACACGAGATAGAGCATCTATCATAGAGTATTAATATGAATGAAACAAGTCGACATTTGATATATTTTTTTTTGATTGAAGAGTAAATTAGAACTACAAGGAAAAGAAAAAAGATGAAATTTAATTATTGATTGATTATTTTTTTCTAATATTGACATTCCGAATTTTTTCTCTATCTATTTTATATAAACAAAAATGTTATCGATATATTCATCTTATCTTATTAAAATAAGGCAAGTGATCTGACTCATATACAATGTGTCGATAGAGATAACTATTGACATTCATTTATTGCTTGTCATCATTGTTCATTCTAATGTATTCCATATGGAGTTGATTATTGAGTATAGAAGCAAAAACAATCGTAGAGATATAAACGACATTAACTCGACTTGTTCCGTATTGGTATATGATACCTCCGGGGAATTGACATAAAAAAGATAAGATTGTTTCTTTTTCTGTCGAAATGAGAATTCCGCCGGCGCAAATGCCAATATCGACAGGCATATCATCACTGCATTCAATTGCAACTATCTCTTTTCTTTTATCCAATATCTCATCATATGTCCTATTCGTTCATAATATATCCATCTATAACTATATATGTATCAATGTGTAAGCAGATGAATTGTGATTTATTGTTTTTTCGTTTAATTTTTGCATATGCTTCATCTGTATTGTATATGAGATCGATCGAGAAGTATTCATTAGTAACAAATGACGACGACGAAGACGACGAAGACGATAGGACCCAAATACTCCTCTCGACTCAGACACATACGTATTTATTCATATTTCATATATATGTAAATATATATATATATATATATATATACAAAGGAGCCGTTCACTTTTTTCTGTCTCTCTGTCTCTCTCTCCCTCTCCCTTTCTTGTTCACTTTTCTCTCCAATCACGACATATATCGACAACGTGAAACATATACATAAGTTCATTTGGTTAGAGGAGGCGACAATACAATATATTTTGCATCATCATCATCATCGACGACAAAAGCTTGCCATTCAAATGTTTGTTGATGCCTTGTAAGTTCTAAGTATACTTTAGTGTCTATAAAGAATAACAACAACAACAACAATAAAAAAATAATAGTAATATATATATATATATATCATTATATGTGTAGAGTGTCCATCGAAGACAAAGTGAGAACTATAATCATCGCACATTTTTTATAAAGACAATTATTAGACTTATTTAAAAGAATTGATTTAAGAAATAAATAAGGTTTGAAGTAAACTTTCTTTTTTTTTCTTGTTTCTCTCTTTTTTGATATTAAATCTGATATAAAATGTATGTGAAAAAGACGCTTATTGTTTTGTAATTATGATGGTTACTTTTTCATCCTTTCTTTCGTTTTAAATGTATGAATGAATGAATGACTTTCTTTGATTGTTTGTCTTCTAACGAAGAAGATGTGCACATATCCTTTGAGATAGACAGACACATAGACAGACATAGACATATCGAGTTGGCTTGCTTGCTTGACTTGACCTATCTTGTTGTTGTTCACTGGTCGAATCATCATTATTATATTAGAGCATAGAGCGTGCTTATAATTGAATCGACTGACTGAACATGCATACATGCGATGAACATTACTTTTTCTTGTTTTCTTCTTCTTCTTCTTCT